CTATTTGTCTTATCTAAAACAATCTTTGAAAGCCATTGGAAAAAAGGCTAAACTGTTGACAAAAGGCTTCTGTAAGGTAACGTCACATTAATGCAGTCTCAGAGGTATTTGCATTTTTGTGGGGCAGTAGGTATTGGTGGGGGTGAAGGAAAATTGAAGCCCTCAATGACAAAAGGATAAAGAAATGATGATTGATCACAGAGCAAAAGGGCAGAGAGTTATTGAAATGGGACACTTATTAACAGCAATTAAAGCAGATTTTGCTCAGATGTATTTCTGTTTTTTAGGTAGTTTCAATAAAAGGTGAGGTCCATTTCACTGGATCTTTTTCATTCTTTATGTAAAAGTTTCAGCTTCTAAATCTATTATTTGTGAGTAACCTTTTTGTTGTTGTTGTTGTTGTTTTTTTTTTTGAAAGATGAGGGCAACTTATAGATTTCTAATATTTAAATTACTTTCTAAAAATTGATGAGAACATCCTGAATCCACAATTCAGCTACAGTCACCAAATTGTTCTTCGTGTATACAGCCTAATTCGACTCAATGAGGACCTAATTTAAAACAAAGTATTGTAAAAGATCATCTTCAGTCCTACCATTTGATACTGTTATATTTTGTTGGTAGCATCAATCTTTGTCAAAGCTTCTAAAAAATGTTTTTCTTTAGTATTTTGGATAGTTTTACCATTTTCTTGATTTCTGTTTGGTTAAAATATGTATTAATTTATGCATGGACATTCATCTGTAAGTCAATAGATCATTATTTATACTGATCCATCCAAATATGTAACTCAAACTCCCCTCAGAATCACTTAATATATCAAAAGAAAAACAAGCTTACTTCAACAAATAACACAAAACATCTATTATAAATACAAAGGCAAGTGATTTGCATGGATGTATGTTCATAGAATAAAGTGAAATAAGGTATTTTATACAACATAAACAACACATACTACCACCAAGGCAGGAAAAAAAAACATATATAACTTTTGAGAAAAAAGTATTTCAAACTGAAGCTTCTAACCATGCTTCACTGGGAGCTAGTTGATGTAGCCCACTCACTAATTGGTCAGAACTATTTGTATAACATGGAGCACTGCAGAAGAACACAAGAGTGTTAATAAACACAAATACAATGCTGCAAACACTGGAGACATCTCCAGCCTGAACTTTGATATCCAGGCTCCTTTTGCAATACATCCCCACAGACAGATCCAGAGCTGTCTCCCCTGTGTCAGACACAAGCCAGGTCTAGCACAAACACATGAAAACCTTTGCTACAAACTGCTGGAGAAGATAAGGCTCAAGAAGGGAAACCTCTGGATAAAAACCTGGGTATTTCAACAACAGAGACCCTTTAAAAACCCCAAAGCATTCTTCTTCTCAGTAAAGCCTTCCCACCAGGTATGGGATAGCTCTTTGTCAGACACAAGCAGTGAGGTCTTTAATCAATAAACTGGAGGCAGAAAAATGTTGATGAAACAAATTAGATCTCTAGTTGGGTTTGCCTTTCCTGGAATTACTTGATGCTGCAGTGATGGATTTTATGGAGGTGAGATAAAGAGATAATCAACTAATGACTTGCACAACTTCAATCAAACATGAGTAATGTTTGGCAAATAGATTAACAGCTCCCCAACATACTATGACACAGAAATGGTATTTTAGATCTGGCACAGTTCTAACACAGTTAAAAGGCAGCATTTTAAAGAGTGTGACCTTGAAAAAGGTTCCCATTTTAAGAACTATGTGACCTTAAGATACATTAATTCATTAGATAAAAGTTTCTTCTCCCCAGTGGCAAACATTTTCAATTTCACCACCAAAATGTCATGAGTCAAGCAGCAGATGTTTCTCTGAGCTTTTCTCTTAATCACTACAAAACCTTCTACTCTAGGTAAATAGCAAGGAACTGAAATAACTTGCAACCACTGTGGTAGCTGGCAAACAATGGTACTGTGGCTCAGTCACCTGGCATCTGACAGAAAACTTAGTCTGTTCTTCATAGCCACATGGGGCATGCTCTGGGGCCCATCAGACAGCCCCTGAAATTATCCCTAACAGTAAACTTAAACTGATGCATGCTTTCCACAAGGATGTAAAATACTGCAGATACTTGATTTCACCTGAGCCATATTCCATCTGTGCAATAAGCAGTTTGTGGCTTCATACATATTTTCCTTCCTGTTTTTTTTCCCCTTCAAATCCTTACATTATCTGTTTGAACATCTTGCCAATTCTTCCTCATTGGACTACTTTAAGATAACCATGTAGGCTGCACTGTAACAGATCTGCAGAACTGTGGACTGGAAACATCTTGTTTTACACTATAGCCTATCAAAAATAGTTGATCCAAGTCAATGTGTTATCCCACTACAATTTGGATTTAATCCAGGATTTTCCAAATAGTTAGAGTATAAAGTTGGGAATCTCTGGCTCAGTCAGACATACCTGCACCTCATGTTTCACGTTTTGTGCTACTTTTGTTTACCAGTCCTGGCTATAGTATTGCTGTTCATTTCTGTACCTCAGATGAAGGGGGACACTCCTCATCACTTCAGAGAACTACATACACTCTATCACTGTGATGGCACACAGCACATGTCATGGGTCCTTCTACATCAAATTTTTGTATATAAAATTAATCTCTTCTCCAACTGTTCTCCGCTTGTTCTTCAGTTACAGAGAATGGCTCTTGGAAATTATTACCCAGGTTAATACACTATGATTATTTTATTTAGAGTAAGTATTTCATTGCTTGTTTTACTCATGAATTATCATTATTTCCACAGAAAAGAGATGTAAGATTTGTTCAGGAAGGTAAACCACTCATAGTGTGTTTGACAGCACGGGTCTATGAGACTGCAGCTTTGTTTGCACCCAGGTACATTCCATTGATAGCTACTGATGGATTTTCATAATTGAATCTCTCCCTTTATGCCTTCCCCTGTGTCCTGTTTCACTGCTGTTTGCCTCCTGTACTATTTTACTAAAGCCCACTAATCCAGTGTTTGTTCCAATGACGAATTTTATAACAGAACCATTGTGGCAATGGGTCCTCAGCCACACATCTTTCCTCTGCCTAACTTGTTCTGCTGGACTGAACTCTCTGTCCTGCTTCTGCTCGGGGCAGATGTTCCTTTGGACAGCAGCAACAACCATTACTCACAACACTCTTTATTCATTCATGCTCCTTCTACAGTTTTGGCTTGCTGCTGAAGTGGGAGGGCAATGCAGCAAGGCACTTCTGTCACTTTGGAAACCTCCTCCTGCCACATGAAGAGCTTCAAGAGGACATCCTTCTAATTGGCATTCCTAAAATCACCTTCAGTGGACTGTTCCTGCAGGTGTACATCTCTATGGCAACACTCAGAGTGCCATTCAGAGTGCACAGAAGATTTTGTGTTCAAAGTTATTATTTCCTAATTCTGCAGTCCATATGGCACCATAAAACCCACAGTAGAGCAGATATTTTTAAAGCGTGACATTAACTTTACTAGGGACATTAACAAAGATGAGTAATGTTATCCTCGCTCAAGTATGAATTATGCCAATGTTTTCAAATTTGGATGATTAAGGTTGTACCTAAAATGACCACCTATTTTTTTGCAGTTCTGAAATGTAATAGGAGTCTACCTGTGCCTGTATCTGAAAGGATCCATACATATTTTCAGAATAACATTTAAGCAAAACCACATAAAGACAGCATTATTCTGATTTATTTTTCTGAGGTTTATTATTGGTAAATCTGACCCTGTTCCTACGAGACATGTCACAAAATGAAAAAAATATTTCCTCAGTAATCACTGCATTTCATTTTAGTTCTACTTCAGATTACTGATTCTCTGATCAGTACAGACAAATGTGCAGATCCTCTGTCCAGTACAGAGGAATATTACAAACTGAAATTTAATTAAAGTATTTCTTAAATCTGTTCAATTTTGCAAATTATTCTCCTTTCTACTACAACCTACATGGTTTGCCACATTCCATAATGCTGCCTGGTAAATAACCTATGTATTTATTTCCACTAATCCTGTTGCCAAGGTCTCATTATTAATAAATTAATGTGGTTAATTATTAAAACATACCAAGCATGTTCCAATTACTTTTTCTCATCAGCCTCCACTTCCTTAATGCAAAACATTCTAACCAGAAACATTTTTTACTTTCCAATCATCTTGATGAATGATATAAAGCAACAGGGTACATTCTCTAGACATTCAGCTTTCAGCCTCTCTGCATGAGCAAGCTGGATGCGCAAGGAGGCCCTGGGATCATGCCTGGGGGCATTAATGAGCTTATTAGAACACTGTAACAATGATTATCTGAATTTCTTATGCAGAACTGAAGATTTAATCAGTCTCTTGCCTTCAACAACCAACACAGGTCAGCTCAAAATCAATGCTGTTCTAAATCCCCAATTTTTTTCTTCTTATATTGACTTTGTTTATGATGACCATGGATGATTAATGTTCATTAAAAATGGTAAAACTTCTGGACAAAATATAGTACATGAAACATGGCATCTTGTTTAATTATTATGAATTCAATGCAGCACAGCTGACCTTGGCAGTAATTTTCATACTGAAATGAAAACATCACTTTTCATGAGTCCATCACATCACATTTGGATGTTAAGCTTTTGCTTTTGCCCACAGTTTTCATTGATATTGCACTTAAAAGAAAACTGCCTTTCACCTTTAACATTCCTTCCCACACAGCAGTTGCCATATAGATGGTTATCCTGAAAATCACCTGAGTGTATATTTAGATGAAGGTGTGATTCTTTCAACAACTGTACCATTTGCTTATTGGGGTCAGCCTGGAAAAACATATTTTTAATAAAAATAAACAAACAAATAGAGCTCTTCTAAAAGCTGTAATAGGAACACACTAGTATGGTGCAGAAATACATGACAACTTATTTTAAAGCTTTCAGTTTTGTTTTTACCTCAGTCTGTCTGAAGTCCATACATTTTTAATGACTGTGCTTACCAGTTGCTGTCCATGAACACCCCAGGCTGCATACTGTAATACTGAATCCTCTACTTCTGGAGGGTTTAACTCCCAAACTTCCCTTGAAAAAAGGGAAACATTTTTACTTGAATACACTGGCACCACCTCATGCATAGAGCCACTGACAATGACATGGTATAGAAAAAACAATGTGACCTACCTTGTGTGGATGTTATAAATCACATATGAAGCTGTGTAAGAATAATGAAATACCTGTTAAAAAAAACCAAAAAACAAAATGTAAGGATTACTAGACAATATACAGGATTAAATACGGACTACCATGAAGGCAGTCAGACTCTTCAACCCCTGTAAACACTGACACTTTTATTACTGAAAGAAGGTTCCACTGAATTAATTATAACCAATAGACCTGAATCAGGTTTTGAAAGCTGTAGGAAGGACACACATACTCACCTGTTAATTTAACCAGCCACTGTAACAGTACAACTGCACAAAAAAGTCCCAATTAGAAAAATCTGCATTCCTATTAAAAAAAAAGCCAACAATAACAACAACACCTGCCATTCTCCAAAAAAAAAAAACCCAAACAAAAAACCCCACTGAGAATATACATTAGGGGAAAAAACCAATTTTTTTCTTCATCAGGCTGTGTCAAAATGATTGCACAGGCATCACAATTATTGTACTTGAAATGCAGAACAGTACAGGCTCATGGGGTATTTTTCTGACCACCTGCTATGAACAGCCTGAAGGACTCCCAGGTATGGCTCACAGAACAGGAAACCTCTGTACTTAGAGGGACTCTGTTTGCTGTGGCTTTCATTAAATAAGTTTTGGTCTGATTTTGGCTGACTTTCTTTGCTTTTCAGGAAAAGTTTGTTGAGGGTTTTTTGTCATTTTGGATAAAAGAAAGAACTATTTTTCAGTAAACCTTTCTCATACAACAGCAAGTTACCAGAGACTTCTGAATTCAAAACCTGTAGTATTCTCCAAACAGAACAGAAGAGCACTTACAGTGTGTAATGTGATGGACCATCACACCAAAGGGCTCAAATCAAAGCAAACAATTACACATTCTCTCCAGTCAAACATTAGTCTATACACCCAGAGTGAATAACAGACATTTTGCTCTCTTCCAGGATTGATTGGTTTTCACCTAGCTCATTTTCTGCCTCTATGTCTCGTGTTATGAAAGTATTATAATTCCATAGTATTAGTTTTAATATGATTTGAAATTGCTTCATGGTCTTGGAATATGAAATATATTTGCCACTAATTATTACTGAACTAAGCAAAAATCTGTTTAATGGAAATTTCTGTCAGAAAAAAAATGTTAGATAACATCCTCTAGACCTACTGCAGCTTCATGTCTACAGTTACAGCATCTCTGCTTGGCATGTGGAGGATTTCTTTCTGGACAGGCTAATCCCATTTAGATGGGGACAGCTACAGCTGTAAAGCCAAAATCTTGATGTGGCTACATATGTTGGGAGCTCTTCAGGGAAAATTTTCTGCTCTGGGAACCTTTCAGTGTCTCCTTCAAAGAGAACAGGCAAAGGGAGTCCTTCATGGACAGAGCCACTGGAATTTGCCACTATGGCACACAAGAGGGTTTCAGAGGTTGTTATTTTCCCTGGAGGCCATTCAATAACAGAGCCATGTGAAACATCCTTCCACTGACTCCCTTCTCATTATTAGTTCCCTGCCAACAAGTGCCAAGAATTTAGCATGCCCCACATCTTTGCTGGCTGATACAGCAAGAATCCCACAAAGGTTTCTAAGATTAGTAACCCTACTTTGTGCAACAGCTGAATATCCCTTCTATAAAATTTCCCTTTGGGACAAAAATAATTTCCATTTTCCAAGTCTATTGTGTTTAACATCAGAACTGTTGCTTCAGTAAGAATCATACATATATTAATAAGTATGCCCCAAACATTGTTATATTTTATAATACAGCTTAAGAGAAACTGTTTTGTCATGTAAGGTACCAGCCTCTTCTGAGAAGTAGAGACAAATGGTTAAATCATGGTGGTTCCTGCACAGGGTGTGCACTGCCAGAGATTGCCCAGAGGGGCACTTGCCAGCAGCCAGTTACAAAGAAGAGAAATGGGTTTCTTGCCCTTATGGGGAAAGGGAAAATTGTATCAAAGATAATGTGTGGAGGCTTGATAAATATTTTGAATAGGAATATTTTAAAAGTAAATTATTAGACAGAATATATTTCAACAAGAAATGCTAAACTAATAAGTCATTCTGGCAGCTTAAACAGAAAATATACTGTACCAACAAGAACAACACTTCATATATCATGTGGAAACTCTGCTCCTGCCTTGTGTAACATTTCTGTCTAAACATTTATGCAGAAACATTAATATCTGTTGAAAAAAAGTGGAAAGTGCTCCACTTCTAGAGGAGATCAACACTACAGTGAGGTCACTTTCAGACAGGATGCTGACATTTTTCTCGATTTCCTCACATTAGTGTTAGTTCTTATCAGGAACACCATGCATAAATTACAAGTAGCAAGCTTCCTAATTCATCCTGCTTGCAAGTGCCACACACTGAAACACAATCACTGTCAACATGAAATCAACAAAAAAGGATGTAGGAAATATTTCTTTTCCTAGTCTGGCTATTATAGAAAGTGCTTAGGAAGCTCTTGTAGTTTTGTACAAAGGCTCAACCTGCTTGGTTTCCTCTTGCACAAAGCTGGGACACAGCCCTTCCCCAACACCATCACATGTCTGGCAGCACAGGGAGGAGTGGCAGGAACCCTCTCAATATCAGGATCAAACCTCCCACACAGCCACCAGCTGTGTCCTCTGTGGAAGAGGCTTGGGGAATTTGGGGAATTATGCTCTGCAGCTTCTGAACTGTAGGATGTGCAATAAGCAGAAAAAAACACCAACCTGGTAATTTATTCCAATAACCAGGCAAAAGCTCAGGCAGCACAGACCCCTCTCGCAGTGAATTTATGGTGAAGGCTGGCTACTCTGTGCAAGTCAAACAAAAAGTGCAACCATTCATATTCCAAAATGTTTTCAGACATTCCTTGTACTCCACACCTTCTAACTGAGGTCCTATCAAAAGACTGAATGAAGACTAATATTTAAACATGGACATTGAATAGCTCCAACTGACCAAAATAAGAGATGTGAAACTGAGGAAAAGGGTTTGGTTGTAGTGAAAATTACTCATCCTCTACATACAGAGAGAATTAGTTAATGACTATGGACACACAAAACATCTGTAAGAAAAAAAAAGCAATATAGGAGAGAAAAAGCCTTTTAGAATATTAAATTAATTACAGCAATTTCTGCAGCAATTTCTGTCATATCAGCTGAGGAAAACAAAAAGAGGAAAATGGTCTGGGATAATTTATTAAAATAATTATAGATGTTAAGGTTGGGTACTGTAAGGAGCCTTAACTTCAGATGTGGCATGTATGCTTGCTAGGATCCAGGCCTTTCTGGCAAGTAAATAACTTGCCTGCTTCTATTATGATAAGCTGGAAAATATTCCCTGCAATGTTAAGAAATGTGAAAATGCCTTTTTAGATCAGACAGACAGTATACCTCCCCCTCAGTACAATTTATTTAATTTTTCTTTTGCCACAGAATGCAGTCAGTAACAACCATTGCATATTAAATATTTCTTCTGAATTCATTCTTTTTAAGTGATGACAAGCTTTCATCTGGTGCTGCTCAACACTGAAAAAGTTAGATGCATTTGTGTATGAAAAAAATGAAATTACAGAACTCCATTACAAAGGACCTAAAAGAAAAAGGTGCCAAAAGTATTTCAAGACAAATTGCTCCAGTCAAAATGTATTGAAATAACAATCTATTACTCAGCTAACAGCCAACAATAAAAAACACACTTATCAATCATGATCTGAACTTTTAGATGACACGTTTAGATGAAGGTGTGATTCTTTCAACAGTTTAGTTCTGGAGTTTCATGTGTCCTTTATTCTCTACCTTTCAAGGAATTATTTTTTCTTTCTGTGGTTCTAAAAGTGAAATAATTCCATGGAACTCAGTGCATAGCCCAACAAGATGCAAGAAAACTGCCTTACACACTCTGCCAAACACACTCCACAAATTCCACAAAACGTTCCAGAAAAGATCCAGTTCACTGTCCCTGGGTAATTTGGAAAACATTTCTCAGCAGAATAGTGTTTTTGCTAAAAAGCTGCCAAGAAAAGCTCAGTAGCAGTATTTTTATGGTGTGATGAGAGCTCTCAGCTCCAGGGAAATGGAAGAGAGCTGATGACATTAGAACCTCGCAGTGCTATAATCCCAAAATGCCTGGGCATGCCAAACACCTTGATGCATCCTTTATCCATTTCCTGTATTATAAACCAATTACACTCTTTCATGCGTTATTTATTTAGAGCAGTAATGATGCCTTCTTGCTGGCACAGCTTTTTGCAAGGTAGTGGAGTGTCTGTCCTGTATTTTTGTTTTCACTCAAACAGACACCTACAATCTGAACTCCTCACTGCAGCTCTCAGTGCTGCTACACTCTGTAAATTCCCCTTTCAGGTTCCAATAAGGCATCTCACAGGGCATTAAAGCACTCAGTCTGTGCAAGAACTATAAAAGCTGAGAGGATATGAAATACATTGAAAATTTCAGCACCTGCAGTAATACTTTCAGTTATTCCAAAGCTTAACAGCCAAATGGTGTCCATGTCTTGCACACAGCATGGATATCCATCTATTTGTATTGAACATAGCAAATAGAACACACTATTTAAAAGCCATACCCTTCCCATTAGTGAAAAAAAAAAGGTAGCAGAGACTCATTAAATAACTGAAATTGCAGTGTTTGCCATCATTCCCATCCCACTTATCTCCAAACACATACCCTGATTTGAAAAGAAATGCAGCTTCTCAGATAAGGTTCAAAACCATGCAGATCTTTCTGATTCAAGAGTGAGATATCAGATCTTTTATGGGTTAATTTACGCTTCTGATCCCATGAAAAATAAAATTAGTATTTTATGAGACTACTAATGTGAATGAACAATGACTATATTCTTGTTCTATGAGTAAAAGAATTCAATCAGGTTTGGACACAAAATAATCAACCTTAGCTGGGTAAAGTCTAAACTCCTGCAATATATGGATGCCTCTCAAACAGTATTACTTATAAAAAAAAGAAATATCAAAAAACTGCTTTTATTGCTTCACAGGTACAAGTTAATTATTAGGAAGTTCAAAGCTATGAGAGAACCTGACC